TTAATTCGGATTTTTTTCTTTAACATGCTCTGATGGCCCAATCACCTAAAGTTTTAGTCATAATCGTAAGGCCGTAAGAAAATAGACCAACCACAGTCAATTATTCTTCGAGTGCGAGGAGAATAATCGACTGTGATTGGTCTATTTTCTTACGGCCTTATGATTAAAACTAAAACTTTGTTACATGTAATGGCCTCTTAAGTTAAACCGAGATTAAAATTAATCTACATTGTTAGAAATATAAGTCGTGCGCTCGATTGACGTCGTCCCCGAAGTCTCGATCTTCGAATTCGAATTCGGATTCGCGCTCTTCCGTCTCCCGCCGGATGACTTCCGGCTCCTAGCGCTTCGGCCGCCTGCCGCGCGACGGCGGCACCGCGTCGCTGCGTCGCGCAGTTGCGCCGTGACACCCGTGTGTGACGACTGACGTACTCCCACGTACTCCGTACAGTCCGTACACACATACGTGCATACGCATACTCGATCGTTCGCGATAGGGTTTGAATCAGCGAGAGAGTGTGTCGACTGTCGCGTGCCGCGCCGAAGCTCGCGAACGAACGACGGACGACGACGGCGATCATCATCATCATCGGCGCCGTTGTTTCCCCGATGCGTGCGACGACGCGCGCGTGCTGAGGACGTCCGCGTCGTTCGACGACAACGCGTGTGCGGGTAACCCCGCGACTTTCATGCCCAGGTGACCCCCGCGCGGCCACGGACTTTCTCCAACCTGGTTGCGGCGACGGCGACGGTGCGCGCGATCAGCCGACCCCCACGGGAAGCGAACAGGCGCGATTCGCCACGTCGTCCCCGTCCACGTCGCCGTCGGCGACGACGTCGTGAGAGGAGGCTCTCCGCCGTAGCGCAGGTAGCGGATCCCGTTTTTTTGTTAGGTTAACTCGCGGCACGACGCCGCGACGCTTAATCGGGTGGGGGCACTAATTAGGGAATGGATGGAGAGAGGAGAGAAAGAGAGGAGAGAGAGAGGAGAGAGAAAAGAAGAGAGAGAGAGACAACGCGCGCGTCGTTACCGTTAGTCAGAATTAGGATTGTCGGAGCACGCGTGCCCCACGCTTGATCCCTGGGATATCGTGTCGGGATATCCGGAGCCGGTTTCCCGGATTGTTATTTCACCTGTGGGACATCGCCAGTTACGTTTTATTTCATCCGCCGTGCACCCTTCGTCACCTGTCTCGTTTGGTTCTAGAATATTCTGACGAGAGAGAATCTTGTATACAACCTGGTAAACAAGGATGTGTATCTCTTCTGCTATGTCGAGCAAAACGCGCGCGTTTTCCTATCGGAGCAACTCAGAAGCGTCGAATATCTTTAAACTTGACGTCAAATGTGACGTTTGTAGAATTGCCGCATTGGAAAGTGGAGCGGTTGTATTTACTTTCTCGTTGTCTTGCAGTTAAGCTCTTGGAGACGGAATGGGTAGCAGCGGCCAGCTCTACAGTCTGTCCTGGGGAGAGTTCAGTTCCTCTCTGGCCTCCGCGGTGCAGGTGTTGAGGGGAGACGGCGATCTGGTGGACGTTACCCTGGCCGCCGGCGGACGCAGCTTTCGCGCGCACAAGATTGTTCTCTGCGCGGCCAGTCCGTTCCTGTTGGACCTGTTAAAGGTTGCGTGTCGTCCTTCCGGCGTGAGCGCGTAACGTGAAAGCGTCATCGCAGAAACTTACGGCAATGCGCATTGTCCACAGAGTACGCCATGCCAGCATCCGGTGGTTATGCTAGCGGGAATCGGAGCGGATGATCTGGAGTCTTTGCTGGAATTTGTTTACCGTGGAGAAGTGAGCGTTGAGCCGGCGCAGTTGCCTTCTTTGCTTCAGGCTGCCCATTGTCTGTGCATTCACGGATTGACAAAGCCAACTGTACTGACGGAGGTACGTTTCCTTTACATCTCGTTTTATTTACTTAAATAAAAATGAGGCAATTAATTTAGTGTATGTGATTGTATATATTTAGAGCGGAGAAGAAGTTCCTGCGTCTGCGATACCAACGGCGACGAACGATGGAGTGTCGAGAGCGACGGGCAACTCGTATTATCCGCTGAAACGCAGGAAAAAGAGGAGGAAGTCGTCGACGTCCTCCGCAAAGTGGCAATGTACTAGTAATACTACCGACAGCGAAAGCAGGCCTCTGGACGACAACAACAGAACAATGCCTTACGAAAATAAGGACGACGACACCATGGAAACCGATGACACAGGTAGCGTAAAGTTTTGCAAAGATTTTAAATCCCCTGTTAAATTAAGTTTATTTCTTAAATGAGGCACTGCAAGATTAGAACTGTGCGACGGATTTTGTAATTTTTTTCCTGCCTTTAAAATATTTCGTAATAAAATACCGTGTGACGAGAATATTTGTGTTCTATGTAATATGATTTGTCGGATGAATTTTCCTTATTTTATTAGTTCGAGTTTTGCACGCTTATCGCAATTTTTGAGTTAATTTCTATAATTGCAAGATTTTAATTTAAGCATGCAAAACAGCAATAATGAAACGGCGATTTCCACTTGTGTTTTGTGTCCGGTGTATTTACGTTTAACACGGTAGCCGTATCATAAAAACTATATACCAAAAATTTCACCGCCTGTGAGAGATTTCGTAGATATCTACGTAGGCCTTTTTTTCGTTTCAATTAAAACGGACACAAGCACAACCATCGATCGGGTTGAACTGCATTTCTGATTGGTCGTCCTCCAATTCGTTGGGGCGAGAGCGAGAGAGCGAGAGAGCGAAAGGGAGAGAGAGAGAGAGAGAAAGAGAAAGAGAGATGGAGAGAGAGAGAGAAAGAGAGGGGAAACAAATTCAAACCGAGCCAAAGCAACGTCAGTTCAGCCCCGTATGGTAACATTGTGTTTGTGTCTGTTAACAGCGGGCAACTGCCTGGTCGGAAACTACGCGAACAACCATCAGGGCGGCAGTCATTCACCGCTTCAAGACTCGTCCGTCGCGGACGATCATCAGGCGGCGCATCAGGAACAGGTTTCGGACGGCGAATCGCATCTGCATACGCTAATGCCGATGCAGTTGCACATACCGCAGTTCCACAGCTCCCTCAACATGGGCTTTCCGTCCGGTCTGGCGTCGTTATCCGGCTTAGCGGGCACCCAGACGGCGTCGAGCGGTGGCGCGAATCAGTCGAAGGCGCGCGGCGCCTCCGACTGCCCGGGCGTTTGCCCGCTTTGTGGCGCGACCCTGCGCCAGGCGAGAAATCTGCGCAGGCATCTGTTATCCTCGTGCAAGTACCGGTTCAACAACTCGGCGGCGACTACGATGGCGATGGCGGCAGCGCAGAATTCCGACTCGACGGAGATCAAAACCGAGATCAAGACCGAGATCGAAGCGCCGGGCTACGATCAGTCATCGATGACGTATGGGACCGACAGCGGAAGTAACGACTGCGAACAGATAGTCTGCAATCCTACCCTACCCTCACCGACGTCGCACGAGAGCGTGGTATCGTCGCCGAGCAGTATCCCGTCGCCGACGATCGCCAGATAAATTGTACAGGGAACGAACTCATCGGGAGTATCGAGACGAACACATTTTGTAGTTAATTTTCTTGCGGATTCCGTTTGTTGCTGATTGTGTTAACAGTGATGCGATACTCGAGATCGCGGTGGAGTGGTGAGTGACAACGTTACGCGCGAGGACAGAGAGGAGAGATAAAAGATATTTTGCATTGTATAGTTACATGATACATTTAAGCGAGCGGTTATTTGTAATTATTGGCGTACGCGTTATTTAACTAGGTCAGAAGTTCGGAGTATATATTTGCGCGTTTAATTTTATACAAGAATCTTCCACGTTAGTGTATAAGATCTACCCTAGGGTTAATTGCTGCAGGTTTAAGCGTAATGAATAAAGTCCTATCGTGAAATTATCATTATTCTTTTACCATCGATACTTATACGATAATCTGGATTTCGTGCGATTGTGCAATTCAACTTCGTCCACTGCGTTAATTTTATTTTGCCTATTTAATTCTCCCTCTTTTTTTTTTACCATGGAATGGTCTAATAGCAGTACGTTTCTAAGAATACGGACTACCGTTTATCGAATACCATTTTATAACGAAACCGAGGAATTTCCAACAGCCCACCATGTGAAAATAATCGGCGCACATTCCTATTTTGTAACGCTCCGCCGCGTACGTGGACTGTTGACAATAGTACATATACAAAATCGCTATAGTATTTTAATTGAGAAAGAAATAAGATAACGGGTATAAAATGTACTATCCAGTTTCTTTTCTTTTTCAATAAAGCGCAAACAAAATTACGTGATACTCTGTGCTGTCTTATTTTCCACAAAATACGATTGTGGCGTTATCTCAGCGTCACTTGAATTATTATCTCATCAATTTTTTTACCACACTAGAATGGATTATGTAGAAACGTGATGTCCGCGGTGAGATAGTCCGATCCGACGACAAGTTTCACACAAGTCTGTCTAGTCTAGATTCGAACTCGTTCTAGGAGACGGATCGTCGAAGGCACGCAGTCTGTCCGATCAGCCGGTGTCGTGTCCGCTGTGCGGCGCGATTCTGCGCCAATCGAGAAATCTCAGGAGGCACTTGGAGCTTCTGCACTTCGGTCTGGGCAACAGCGGCAAGTCCGGCATACACGCGAGGCATCGGCGCGTGGCAGCGGCGGCGGCGGCGGTTGCGGCGGCGGACAGAGTCAACGACTTCGGCCTGTCGTCTCTGGCGTGCGTTCGTCCCACCGTCAGGCTGGACTCGCACCTCGCCGCGAGGTCCTCCGAAGCCTCGGACTTTTCCATGATGACACCCTTGTCGATCGCCTCGTCCGTCAGTTCCGCTTCGAGCGTCAGTCTTCCAGGTGAATCTCGCAAGTTATTCACAAGTTCCTAGAATATTTTGTTTTCTGTAAATGTGCTTGTTATATACAAGCATATCATTTATCTTGTGTAAATTTCTGAATTCAAACGCAATTATACCGAGAAAAATATTTCCTGGATAAAGAGAGAGAGAGAGAGAGAGAGTGTGCGTGAGTGAGTGGTGGAATTATCTGGATAAAGATTTCCTCGTGCATAAAATGTTTATAAAATGTTTGAAGGATAATTGCTGCTAACGAGCTCATTGGTCGTAAACCATATTGATTCGACGGAGAAATGTTATACAATGGCATTAAAATTTTAATGTTACGCTTCACGCGCATTGTATATGATGTACGCGAATATTATCGAAAGATTAACGGATGCGTCGAATGCGTTATCGCTCTCTCAACTAAAGCGATTACACCCCGAACATATTCACGCGAATTGCAAGTCCCTCCTTTACGCGGGTATAAATTCTGTACCGCGCGATTATAAACACCGATAATTATCAATGTTTTGCAAGAACGCGCTTGCGACTGGGATATTCGCGATGGGATTTATTATACCATCGCGATTAATCCTCGTAGTAATTATAAGTTTCATGTTTGTCTAAAAACGTGATATATATACACATCACGGCATATTCGATGGAAATAAAAGTAAAATATTTATATTTTACTTTTAATTCCATTTCACGTTATCATGAATGACATGCAATCATGATATTTTTACTCTCAAGATACTAACTAATTAATTATTATATCATTATTCATAAAATATTTACCCTTGCGATGAATATAGCAAATCTGAAATTCTCCTTACTTCATTTTTTCCCTCAGCATACACACATTTTATAATTAATTTAGAATTTTAATTCCCTTACATGCATACGCTTATTATAATGTATATAGACAACGATGTCGAGACCTCGTTACCTAATAATGTCAGCAAAACTTAGATCTCTATGGTGTCCATAGGGAATCTGATGGGTACGAGCTCAAGTCTATTGGGTTCCGGCGATCAAAACGGACATCCGCTGTCGGGATCCACTCCGGCCACGTGCAGCACCGCATCTATGGTACCTCCGACCAACGGGATCTACTCCTCGGACGGCGGTCCCAGTATGCTGAGCTGCCTGCTACCATCGTTGCCCACTTTACCGTCCTTTTCCGCGTCTCATGATGTGTTTCGACACGGCGAGATGTTGCGCGCGGGGATCGCCTACCACGATTCCTCCCGACAGCACGTCAGACACATGCAGCGCACGGACGTCACCTAATTTCGTAAACTCCGCGGAAAAAGCGAAACCAAGGACGACAGTATCAACGGAACACTGAATAGACTCCACTAAGTGTAGACTTAGCTTTATCAAAGTATGAATATTTAACGCGATGTGGTAATGGACGGGTATTAAAAATGGCATTAAAAATGTCGCTGAAACGCGGCGAGATAGCGGATAAAATAGTTCGACGAGTGTAACGATGATTAGCAACGATGTGTTGTATTAGGAATTTTTTTACTCGGTGCTATGTACACGAATTCAAATATGTACGATCTATAAATAATAAATTGTTTAGTAATTAATAAATATAATACATTTGCTTTCATATTTTTCTAGCTATGGATATGTGAACGCAAGTATTTTCTTTAGAAAAGGTTTTATTGAAAATACTATAAAGGAAAATAAGAAATAAAAAATCAGGTCCATTTGAATATAGCATAAGTTACAAGTTTTTTTATAATCGTTATTTACACGAAATTTATTTCGAAAAAATATTACGAAGTCGATATCCCTGCCGAGAAATAAAATTATCTTGTTCGTTTTGGAACATCGAAAAATTTGCAGTTCTATCTTTTGTGCTAACTACATTTATGATTATTCTTGGAGATTGCTCACGTATCGTTTTTAATCATTCCGAATTAATATTTTCATGAAGATATTTAAGTCACCGAGCCGAGAGAAGAGGTAGAACTTTTCCTTCATGAAGATCGAACTCAAAGAGCTTGAAGAGAAGAGATCGTTATCGTTTACATCCTCTTCCTGAAGGAAATTTTTTTTACTCTGCGCGTCGGTCGACTAGTGCGCAACTATGAGATCATAATCATGATCTTCAAGATCCAAGACGATCGTTGAGATCATAATCAGATGATTAGATTCATCTCTTCGTGAGGTTTGCTGTGTCCCAGAATGAATGGCCAATTTCTTCTGGAGATCCTCTCGAGTTCGCCTTCCAGGAGCTTCACCAAGTCATCGAAATATCTCAAGTCGTGAACGTCTTCCAGCAACCTCGTTGTGTCACCCAGCAAATTGATCGCCTTCTTTTCGTCGCACTGTAAAATTCATAAGACGTATGAATATTGTATAACGACGGTTTTAGGAACGGAAACGGAATGTCGAGATGCAAATGAGATAAGCTTTTCCTTTAGCACTTTGAATATACTTCTCGATAGACTTCCAATCCGTTGCTTAATTACGAAGGTGTTTAATATCTATCAAAAATTGAAAAGTTGCCACTTCTCTAACAATCTCCACTGATGAAGATTCAATTCTGCATTAAATCAAAAGCTTGCTATCCATATTTAATGCAATCAATATATATAATAAAATGCAATCAGTACAGTATACATAAACTATCTCTGCAGTTTTTGTATCTTCGCAATAGTATATTCATTTACATTGAGTTTTTTTCGAGAAACTGATAATATATAACTATTTGAGTCTTTGCACTAAGATTTTAATTTCGATGAGAGCCGAGGACGAGACGTTTACCTGAAAGTTTGTACGTAAACCGCATATATCCCCCTGGATCTCTTTATTGGCGAGTTGCAGCCGTTCTATTCTATCGCGGAGATGGCGTACCCAATTATTCGGATCGTCGGGAACCGCCGGTGCTTCCACGTCCGTTTCAATGGTCAGAGCCAGTCTGGTTAATTGATCGTGAGAAGACGTGCCGTCGCAGAATCGATCCTCCTCCTTCAGGAGAGCCGTCGCCCTTCCCGGATCGTTCCGAAGACCTTCGAGGATAGATGCTACTTCATTGATGACCAAACCTCGATTCTGCGGCATAATTTATACCATTTACAGTCTACGGACAAACAGTACGATTAAATAATTAATTTTACACAGAATAAAAATCTTGTATCCTTCGTAATGCGAAAGAGCGTACGTTTGCGAAATTCGCGGCGTGATCTCTCGACGCGATCGCCAGCTCGTCGCAGAGGCACATTGGCGTGTTTTGCGCGTCGCTCTGGGTCTCCAGGCTCCAATCGTAACTCTGGATACCGGAAGTGTCCTCCAGGGAGGACGACCTTCTGCTGGCTGGACCTTTACAGTCGTCCCAAGTGGAGTTCAATCTGTTGTAACTCGATCTGCTGCTGTCGACCGTCTTCGTACTTGGCACCCCGCAGTCTTCGTCGGTCGAAGGGTCATCGTTTGATTTCACTGACACGTTAAAATCATCGGCGACCCATTGTCGGCGCTCGGAGATGGGCGAGAAAATCGCGTATGTCCTCAGATCCGCGCCCGGTAAGTTCAGAAGTGCCCTCGGCTGCGTCGCACCTGTGTTCGTGATTTTGTATTCATTTTACATTGTGTATTTGCCTGCGTTAATCGTATTTGTTTAAGTTTCGATAAGATACATTTCGGAAAGAAAATAAAAATGTGGGATAAAATATTGATTTTTGCAAGTCAAGTCTCGTCGAGCTGTAAAGAAATTAGCACGCGGAGCGTTAAAGTTAACGTTTCTTTTTTGTAGAAGACTTCTAAATGATATTATTGCCAAAAATGCCTTAAGTTTTTTCTTATTTTGACGAGCTGGCTGAAAATTTGTGTGTACATTCTTAAGCACTCGATTATGATAAAGAATAAAGTATTCAAGGATATATCAAGGTAAAATATCAAGATAAGATATTAAGTAATAGCGATAAAGATTTTTTTATTCGATCTAACTGATCATTTTAATTAATTATAATCGTCAGCAAGTTTTTAACTTTAAATTCTTTGAACTTGCTAACGATTATATCAGTGATTTATAAAATCACTGTAAAGAATTTAAAAAAAGATGCTTATTATTAGCATCAAAAGTTACATCGATTGAGAAGGATGATCGAAACGTCGTGACTATATATTTAATATAGATAATTTTTATTATAATTAATAAAGATGGCCAGTTAGGTCAAATAAAGAAAATCTTTACTGTTAATTATTAACTGGCGAAGTAAAAATGTCTGATTTGATTTAATTAAATAATAACATTATTTCCTACTTATATCCGTATAATTTTGCAACACCCACGCAGTTGGTGAAGAGACTGTCGATCGAGCTCGAGTTCGGGATGATCGCTCGAACCTCGGGGGGAGAGCCGTTTCCATTAACTTACTTCAGTCTCCCCGACACAGACTCAATCGAACCCTCGGATCGAGGCCGTTAGCGTGCCCGCAACAATGCTCGTGGCAGTTTCGCAGTCTCACGCCACTCCGGCATCTTTACTCGGCGGTAAGCGCCGAGCCACGATCCCGCGGGGACGAGGGAAACGGAGTAAATCCGATACGTCAAGCAACTCGATTCCGCGCATTGGTAAACCGCGAAACTTTATTAGGTCAGGTGCCGCCGTGGCCGACGAGTTTCCACGAGGTGGCTTTAACTCGGCGATCGGTTCGAGGGACCAAAAGCGCGACCCCCATCGCTTGCGCTTCCTTTCTCGAACTTATTCGATCGAACGAAAGGTAACGGGGACGTGGAAGGCAGAGGGAGAAACCTTAGATTTTGCGTACCGATCTGCCTGGAATCGATGAGACGGCTCGACCGTTTTCGGCAACGCCGGTACCTCCATTCTCCGCTCTCGTTCTCCAACGTGAATCTCATCTGGGAGAAGGTAAAGCGGCGAGGGGACGGTATGAGTATCCGGTATTCTTGCGATCTGATCAGTCTCTCCGGGGTGTAGCAGACGGGATTGATGCATGCCTCCTTGACGTTGCGCTCGCTGCCGGTTACAGTCGCGGGCGAACTGCTCTGCATGCCGAGAGAGACGGGGGTGGATCATTTATTAATCGCGCTTCTATCGTTCGGGGGTCTCAACGGGGCAGACGTGTGTCGTTAAGTCCTCCGCGACGTCGTATCGAACGTTTTACGACTCCGACAAACGCGAATGAAATATTGAAACAAAACAAAACAAAAAAAAGACAAGACAGGAAAGGAGATATTTGAGTCATTGAAGAGAAACTACGAAAACCGATAAATTCGTAAACTAATTTGCGGCAAAGCAATTGCGGCTAAGCAATTGCGGCTTAAATGACGAGCGCTTGCATCTTGTGTTCGTATCTTTGCGTGTGCAAGTGATATCGATCAGTCGCGCGGAGAGATATCCGGCCCCTTTACATTTATTTGCTCAGTTATCTAATTAAGCCGGAGCCAGAGTCTCTTGCGGCCCGATAATCGGATTGGATACAATTCGTATAATACGCCGACATCGCGAAAGAGAAGAAAAAGGATCGGAGGAAACAGAACCGTGCAAATAGAGATAAAAATCCACGCTTCGCTAGGTTGAAGTTGAAATGTATCGCACATGAAAATGCAGCCACGTGCGCGCGTACGGAGATTGTGTGTGTGTGTGTGTGTGTGTGTGTTGTAACTAAACGAAATTTTCGTCGAAAGGAAAACATGAACAGGAAATTCGACGAGTGCAAAATTAAAGTGCGCTGCCGCGCTACATCCGGCGTTTATTAATTTAACAGCATCTGATAGTTCAAGTGAATGGCGACAGCGGTTATGTCCACGCGCGAGTAATATTTCAACCAGTCTAAACAGATATTTTAAAAACGTTGTTGAACGTCTCGGCTTTGTGCGTTGTTTCTTGAAGCTAAATTATTTAAATTACATTAGCGAAGTTATTCCACGGAATTATATACAAAATCTTCGCGACGAGAGGAAGCAGAAAACTCATTTTCGTTTCCCATTTATTATTTAGATCGTTTAAAGTTTAATTACTCGGACAAATCGCAAATATTAATTATATTAATATGCATCAATTAATGTTATTTTATTATTCCACGAGATTATACACGAAATCTTCGCGACGAGAGGAAACGGAAAACTCATTCTCGTTCTCATTTATTATTTAGATCATTTTTGAAGTTCAATTACTCGGAGATAAATCACAAATATCAATCCATTACATTAATATCTATATACATCTCTTAATATTATATTATTATTATTACACCTATATATATGTATATGTGTGACTTTCTATAAAACGTTTCCTGAATCAAAACCGACGTCAAAGTTAAAGAGCCCTTCGTAAGCAGAAACTTAAACCCCGGGACATTTCGCATATTAATAAATATGATGTCACACTCACCGTTTCCCTGGCGTCCCTCTCGATCAGATCGACATCGAGATCGTCCGGCGTGAACGAGATCAGTTCGATTTTCTCGCAGATCCCGCTCTCCTCCTGCTCCTGATGCCTCGACACATCCCGCACGAAGCTGCAGCTACCCGAATCATTCGAGTCGATGCAGGACAGCATCGACGCCGACGATCCGGGTGATCGATGATTCTCGACGCGATACGATCTGGACGATACCGCGATCTCCCGATCGCTCAACCACCAGCCGAAAATCTCCTCGCCGCCGTCGTTGGGCGACGACGAGCCGTACTTGGCGGCGTCTCTTCCGTCCAGATAAAACATCGCCCGGCGATTCCTGACGTTTTCCAATCGACGTGGGGCGCGTGCAGATTTTACCGCCCCGGAAATTCCGCCTGCAAGCAAGACGGATTGACGTGCGGGAGAAATCGAGTTTCGCAGTAATTCCCGCAAACAGGAGCGCCTGAACGCCGGGCGGCGTTCAAGGCGCCCGAGCCGTGTCTCGGAGATTCGAGGACGACGAATCCTCGACGCGCGCACAATCCCCGATTTGCCGATAATAAATTCTACACGATTTCGATTTGTCAACGACGAGCCTAGCGCGAGTTCCGACGATAAATCCGCGCTCTGACGAAGTCTTTGAAAACGGAAAATAACGTGGAAATTCCTCACGTTGCGCGCGGCGTAAGGAATAATAAGTAACGATGCTGTTGCGACGTAAAAGATGATTAATTAATGATAAATATATGATTTATATAAGATCTCAATTTTACATAAGATATAGATAAATTGACGATTTTATGACGAAAAATGCAAGCTTTTTGTAGTATCTCTCTCTCTCCTCATTCGAAAAACCTTTTTAATATATTGTGCAGATGAAACTACATATATATAGAGTTATATTATTCTTTTATTATTAATTTTATCCGTGTTTTGTTCTGCTCTCTTAATCATTCTGATCGAACTGGATTTACAAAGATAGCGACTCAAAATGTACGAATGGTACGAGCTGTCAACACGTGACGTGAGAACACATATCAAACATTAAATCTTTTATGAGTCACGAAAACCGGCGCGGTGTTTTACAGCTGGAAACTCATACAGCGTTTCAACTATCTTCGTTTATCTATGTAATGTCACTTAAGTATGCACTTAGTGCATGTGTACGCTGAATAAACGATGAAATTTTCACTTGTCCGAAATCTCACGCGCATCTCGCATACATAGATCTACAAAATTCAACAGCTGTTATTGATGCGTTTTATTATAGTGATACAATTACAAATCTTTTTCCTTTACGAGAGCCCAACTGTCGTCGTTATTTAAATTAACCAGAAGAATATTCTTTTATACAATTAACAATGATTTGCCGATACATTCACACTGAGAAAAAAAATTTGTCAATCCCAGAAGAAATATTTAGTTCAATACGTTCAACTAAACATTTTAGTTAGTTAATTAAACATTAGTTGAATTAATTAATTCTTGATTAAAGAAACTAAATAAATTGTTGAAACAACTAATGTTTAGTTAACTAACTAAAATGTTTAGTTGAACGTATCGGATTAAATATTTCTTGGGATTAACACTTTTTTTTCTCAGTGCATTAGTTAGATTAGCTAGTATATAAATTTAGTTATTGGTTAATTTAATTAGATATTATTTAAATTATTTTATTTTGTTTTATTAACATTAAATATTTTTTAAATGTATTATTTCGATCACATCACTGATTTTACACAAAGAAAGAAAATATATTTCTTTCACTTAATAAAAAGAATGCATATAGCAGTACGCAAAGTAATCTCGTTACAAGAGAAACGTTCAATAATATCACAATATCTTCCCACTATAGCGATCGTGATAATTATTCGCAAGCTCTCTCATGATTATTAGGCAAGTGTAGAACCGACGAATCCTCTTAATTACGACGTAATTAATTTTCAGCGAGCCACACACTGGCGCTGACGATCGCGATCGACTGATCGGTCGACGAATCGAGCCGGTTTCCGCACTGAACTGCAGTCGATTCGCCGGCCGACGATTTTTCATCAGAACGCACGTGGTCGCGATCGCGCAGATATATACGCGATCCGATCGACGCCGACGTAGGCGATCAGATCTCCCGGGATAAGATCGTGTTTAACGAACCGTGCTCCGATGACCACCGCGCGTCACGTTTCACGATCGCGACCGGAACCGCCGCGCCGATTGACCGCTTAATGCTTAATGCGTCGTCAGCAAAGTCGGACGTCGACTGTGTCAGCGGTCACCCATTTCCTCGACCACCAGTCGTCATGGTGACTCTAATTTAATAATCCGTCATTTCCCGCTTTGCGTGTCGCACCTTTGCCAGCGACCCCGGCAGCCGCATCGACGAGCTCTGTTATCTTCGCTCCTTTTTTTCTAGCGTTTTTGTTTTTAAAGACTATTTCGATCGTGTAAAAAGGCCATCGCACACAAAATTGCATAGCTTAGCATAAGCGTAACGTAAGACCGCTAAACCAATGAGCATCCAGTATAAAGTCGCCATATTGATTTACATAAGATGCTTATTGGTCCAGCGGTCTTATGCTATGCTTATGCAGCCTGTGCAATTTTGTGTGCGATGGCCTTAATTGTTCGCGAATCTCCCGGTCTTTCCGTATCAAGATCTTGCGGCGAATTAGAAAAATCTCACGTCAATCGTAAAAGCGATCGCGATTCGGGTGAATCCTCGCGAAAATTTTCATCTTGCCGCGCTCATAGGAAAAACGCCGTACACATTGAAAAGCAGGGTAATGCTCCGCGAAATAACTCCTTTTGAACGCAGTGAATAGAGTGACGTATTTTCAATGAATTTTACACGAAAAGCGTTTACGTTTCGAGCTAAGTAAAGAAAGTTCGGTTGAGCGAGCAATTTGAATTAAACGAGCTTGGTTTAGCGATTCGCCTTTGTTTGATGGGCCGTAATATGCTATCTATCATTTATGGTGTATAGGTATAAAAAGAAATTCGATTGCATCGAGGTCTAAACGATTTGAGTAAGAATTTGTAATCGTTCCTAATATTAACTAAAGAGTAGGTTTTCTAGTTCTTATTTCGCTTTGCCATACTCCTGCAACGAGCTGGTCTTTTACATCGACCGCCACTTTCTCATGCACTTTGACTGAAACTAACGACACCACTATGTAGCTGATGTAGCACACTATTATTTTATTCACACATACATTGTAGATCTCAATCGGTTTATTACTCTATTTAGCCCGTTGCTCTTTCATCTCTTCAGAAGCATTTCTTCTTAACATACACGTAAAGAGCAATGTGGTTGCCTTGAAATTAATTTTAAACGACCAAGATTTTGCGATCGTTCCTAACTAAAGCACTTTGCCATGTTCTGTGACATATCAGCGATTCCGTCTTCACCGCTGATTGCTACTTTCTCATGCACTTTGATTGAAGATAACAACCTTCATATAATAGCACACTATTACTTAATCTCATCACATACAATATGGATTAAGAATCGACATTATTTAGTCCGTTGCTCTTCAGAAGTCTCTTCAATCTCTTCATGTTCTAACATACGCGGAGAAAACAATTTGGTTTGCCTTAAAATTAATTTTAAACAACCAAGAGGTTTTGTAATCGTCTTTAACTATATAAAGAACTTATATTCTTGTAATGTGTCAACAAGTTTGTCTTTTCCATCGACTGTCACTCAATTTCTCATGCACTTTGACCGAAGCTAACGACACCATCACCATATGTAGCCGTACTGCCGTAGTAACACACTATCATTTAGTTCATACATACGTTGTAGACCTTGATCGGTACAAACAATTTCAGCTTTTGCTCTTTGGCCTCTTCGAGATATCGATAACGATTACAGCCGAGTTGTTTTCGTCTATATATAGACACCGTATCCCGGAATGTCGCGCGCGGCGCACTTTTACCGATCCTGCATCGTTATTTATTAGTATTTTCAGGAATGTTGGGCGGCAATAATGATAACCCTATATACATCATGCGTGCGATCGCGACGATTCCCGTCGACTGACAGGGAATGACGTGTCCGCGGGCTCTGTTTTGTATTCGCGATAACTCGCTGACCCGTGTGTGCCGTGATAATTTCAGCCGTGCCGAGTATTGACTGTTCGACTGTATACGTATGTGTGTATGTGTATACAATTGCGCATCGTCACGATGTTGCTAAACAGCCGCGAGCGAAGGCTCGTAAGCGTGCGCAAATAGCGCGATCAAAATTGCGTCGCGGTATAATTCGCTGGAGAGAATCGCCAGTGACAGAAAAACGACACCTCGAAAGTTTCAGTGAAAAGAAAAAGAAATCTTCAGAGACCTCAGAGAGAAATTAGGTTCTCTGAAGAGTCTCTAAAATTACCGTAGAAAAGACTTTTTCGAGAAGAGAATTCTTCGCGAACGAGAAGAATTCAAACGAGAGCCATGAAATCTTTAGTCGAGCACAGTTTTAGAACGACAAGATAGTTACTCCTTAAGCTATAAGTTATTTTCATACTTCAAGAATTATTGCTGGCAAGAGTTTAAATAATGCAGGCGATAAGATACTTTGCAATCTGCTTTTCAAGGTTTCTTCTAACCATCGTCACAGAATTGTGTTATATTTGTTGTATATATATATACTATATATTTTTTTATTTTATCCTTGCGGCTTTGGATGGACTTCCGGTGCAATGCAATATTTTACATTGTTCTCTTTTACACCTTTTTACCCATCTACAGCTTACTTTACTTTACATTTACGTCTACACACATTTACTTTTACATTATAAAATATTTTTCAAGTATTTCATTATTTATCTTATATTTATACGTATAAACTCTTTTCGGACTTAATAAATTTCAAATTTCAAAATTTTTGACTTGAACTCTCATCTTTATCATTCCAAGTTGTCCTATATTTTATATGTGTATTCTCTTTTGCTTCTCCTCTTTCCTACTTCTCGTTATTCGTCCCTTCTTAACCCAATTTCTTCGTATATTTATTGTACATAATATTCATTATGCACCGCGTATGTACATATAGCGCAGAAATATAATTACCCGTTAGTGATTACTGGTTATTTCGATATCTTCGACAAAAGGGCGAAGAAATGTCTTTTCTTACTGCAACGTCCTAAATACAAGATGTCTCAGATTCTGTATCTATCCAAATTACGCGAATCTCTAGAAGATATCCGAGAAATTGAGAACATCTCTCTTAAACGTTGGATTATTCGGATTAGCTGTCACAAGTGCAATTTTCTGCGAGAAACGCGAACAAAGGTCTTAAACATAGTATTCGCGGCCAAACATCGGGATATACATATACCAACTCACGCTGATAAATTTATTGCTTTGCTAATACAAACTGATTAATTAACTAACCTCTAGGCAGCTAGGCAGCTAGCACGTAAATATTCGATCATTGTAATTCGCCGGGTATTAATTTAATCGATGAATGAAACATTCGCAAATGTTAATTCAATCACTGGATTTTCACTTTTGTTTTCGAAAGGAGGTGATAAACGATATCATTCCCCCCCCCCCCGCTATCGTTTCGATTGGCAATCTCTTGACTGCTTTCATGTCAAATGCCTCTTTCGCACATCGATACGATGACCATTTTTGGGATTCGCGATAACGCCGTCGAGCGGGACAATTTATTGTCACTCATCACGCAAAAGATAGGCAAGTCGAGAAACCCAAGCCTGTAGTAAACCAAACTCAATTTCGAGAATGTTAACACGTTTATTTGTCTTATTGCGATATCCTGGAAAAATCGCGCATGCATTTATATTTATGCGGTTCGTGTCTTCTTGAAAGAGAGAGGTTCATCGACGCGACGCGACGTCGTGCGGCACGAGCGCGCCTGGAAGCGTCGCTCGAGCCGTAGATTGTCTTGCGAAATAAACTATTTTCCGATCAGTCAGCCTGTGGTCTAGGGATACGATTAAAGGGGTACTAATCCGCAAACATGCGTGCGAGTATTCGAGACCTCATGCTGATTTTCGTTTTTTCCCAGGGATTTTTACGGTCAAAGTTCAACGACGTCGAGGACGAACGGGCGGGCACAGGGGGCGATTTTTCGGGACGCGTTTCGGTACGAATATTAATCAGGATGACGTGGACAGGCCTTGATCGAGGGAGAAAAATGATCGCGCATCGCCGATAACGCGTTATCGCAGCGCGTCGTACACGTCGTTGCGCGCTCGGCTATCAGGTGCAACGGACGCACGTGCATGCCATGCCTCCGCGGTTGAGGGCATGCGAGTGCGATTACCCTGGATCGCGATGGTCTAAACGGATTCCCAGGGAAAATAAAGTTGACCGACGATATGGCTTCTTAAATTACGAAAAAGCGAACAAATTTTTTTCATTTATAAAGTACAAGCGGTAATAAAACGTGTCACGCGAACGATCTGTGTCAATCATTAATTTTTTAAATTTGCTCGAATCGCGAATAATAAAACAAGATCGGAAGGATATGCAATATGGTTTGAAATCCATTTACCCGTGTTTGCGGAGTACCTTTTTCTCCGATGCAGTAAAATCGAAATGGGGCTAAATTCGCGACTGCTTCCGGGCATCGAATCTATTTTTTTTACATTTCTCGTTACATCATGGGATAATACGCTCAAACATTTGCTGAACATTAATTATAGATTCGCGTGGCAGGTGTATTTCAAATTAGTCCGGCATTGTTCGAGAGATTCCCGTCTATTTTCCATCACGTTCAGAAGACTAGAATCGCTTTGTGCATTAGTCGTGCGCGCAGTTTACCTTGTAATTGTAATCTCGATTACGCTAATCTCGCCTTATCGAACGGGAAGTTCGCGTTGACTTTTTGCGATAAGGCGAAATTAGATCGGCTGTGCAACGTCATGCGAGAAACCGCGCGTTGCGCGATTGAGGCGGGACGGGAAGAGGAAGGGTCGAGAGAGTATCATTGAATTACAATGGCGAAGGACTTGGGGAGTTATACCGGCGTGGTTGGATAACATCCACTTCTCGATACAATGTCTCGGATTGCTCCCGCGAATTATACTTCTCTTAATAATCCAGTCGTTCAATAGCTCCACGGTCGCTTCAAATGTGATCGTGCGACGTAGCGTGTCATCTGATATATTAGATATATAATATATGAAGTGTTATATTTAAATATTATATATGACATAATTTTATATAAGTATATATAAGTATAAAGTAATAATAATATAAATGTTACAAATACATTTAAATTATATTATATTGTAATTATATAAGAAAATCAGAGTCAAATACGAGTAAATAAACAATATTATCGTTGAAATATTCTAATTCTATAGTTTTATTCGAAGGTAGACAAAACATTGTGGATGTTTCAACTATATTACGTCTCCTTTAGCACGATAAATTAAATAAAGAATATGTGAATTAAAAAAATTACAAGTAACCTGAGTTAAAATTAATATAACGATAAACTTTGACTTTCTTACATTGCTTTTACGAATAATGAACGCTTTTTTCACTTATTTATTACAATTATGTTATAATATGTAATATATAAATATTATATATTTTTGCTGAAGCCTCATCTTTTGCGTTCATACCTTCTTCTTTCACGTTCCTCGTGTCCTCCTTTGTCTTATTAAAACCAATGTTTGTACGCAATTATATTTAATTAAATTTTGATGACTGGCCAAGGAAATTAGCCGTCTACAATAGCTATTGTAGACGGCTAATTTCCTTTTTTACAATAATGATCGAATTGAGAAGAGACATATGAACTGTGGCTTTGTACTCGATCCAGAGTTGCGTTGGGACAATAGCTAATGTCTTGTTCGATTGAAACGCGATATATCTCATATAAATTATCTTATTCCCCGTTCGATTATTATCTGTCGCGCTCGTGCGAATTCTCAATCTCGACGGCAGTCGTAGCGCAAACAGGAACGAGAAATTCCTCATGCGTTTCTCCATCAGAATGACTTTTCTGTCTTTTTTCCCCCGTTGCGTCAACATTGCATAGCTGCGACGACGTTTCGCGCGACATTCCTACACTCGCGATAAGGAAAATTTCCATCGCGGAAACGAGAATTTTCGCGGAGAGCCCGATCAACGGGCGGATTAAGTTGCAGATCCGTCGCGAGATACGGAGATCAAACGTTAAACGCGTCGTGTAATGGTACGATATGTTATTTCTGGTGCATCATAGGCACAAAAAAAAAGTGAAAAAGACCCAATAATTCATCTCGACTGTTTTCACGCAAATAATACGGGATAATACGATTTCCATCGACGGGGCTGGGGAGAGAAGTGGCTGGAGAGCCCAAACGGGGCAAGGAGACGCGGAAGACAGTCAGGAGACCACCACTCCCGGCTCTCCCCTTCCTAAGTAAATCATTTCCGTGAAAGTCACGTTTCTCCCGAGACCGAAAGGATACGACAGCCGGGATGTGTCGCGCACAGCCCGCGGAACGTCACCGCGCAGCAAGCAACGGTGTGAAAATTTTAGGAGAATTCCCAAAAGGCTTCTTCGCCGAAGACTCGCCTTCGGCTTCTATTTTTCCTTTCCTAGACAAACATTCGGAGGGAACAAACGCCGCGATCGAGTCCCGAGTCCGTTCCCGGGGGTTGTATTTCCGTTTCCCACGCGCCGCGGAAAATTCGCGTTCCACTCGGCGGCGGCGTCGCGGCGCACGTACCCGCGCCGCCGCCGCCGAGTGCCGAAATTCGAACAGGTTGCGGCGCACGCGTGGCAAGATGGCCGTGTGCGTCGACGGGGGTAAGTTGCACGTCGGTGTCGGCGCGGGGTTGGCGCGACGACGGGGGTCGCACTCGCTCGCTCGCTCGTTCGTTCGTTCATCCCGTCCCGCGCGTCCGTGCTCGTTCGTTCGTCGGTGGCGCGGCGGCGGATCGATAGCGGCGCGACGGTAGTGCGCGAAACACCGTGAGCGACGGATCGGCGGTCGTCGCCGCCGTCGTCCTCGTCGTCCATAGTCGTCGTCGTCATCGTCGTCGTCGTCGTCGTGTCGTAGCCCCCCCGAGTTGCTGCTGGGAGTCGCGCGCGAGTCGAG